ATTTAACAATATGTGTTCAGCGATAGGCTGACGAGTTAAAAAAAACGAAAAAAAAAAATGGAAAGCCACCGAGAGGACTGGTTAAAAAAAAAACTAGCGTTTATTAACCTTATCAACTCATTCGGATAAAACCTTATGTATGCCTTAACTCGACTATTTCTTTCAAACCTTGTTTATGAATTGAACTCCATCTACTACTCCAAGACTCAAGTCTTCATCTGGCTGCCTTTGTAGCTGTTACTAAATAACAACTTAATAGTGAAAATGACTTGGTATGTACCTTTCAGAAGTATTATTCCTTTTTAGAAGTATTATTCTCAGTGAATTATCTTATCAAAAGTGTCTTTAGTCACTTTGCAAAAAAAATGTGTCTAACCACAGCTTGTTTAATGCTAAAGAAACATATTTCAATAAACGTCAACTAAAAAGAGGTCGTTTTGGATTGAAAAAAGTTTAGGGGCCTTAGTTCCCACGAGTCTCATGTAGCTCAGTGGTAGAGCATCTGGACTGGTGACAAGTAGGTCATAGGTTTGACTCCTATTTTAGGAGTACTCTGTAGGATTTTTTCCTTCCGTACCTCCTGTGTCACTGACTCAAAAAACATCTTTCTCATGTATTCACCAGGCTCAAAAATTCAGCATCCAATCTCTCTGAGTTTCAGGCTTAGTTTTTTTGACTCGACTTGGGAGATTTAGATTTAGATTTAAATTAGGAGTAAGTTTCCTTCATCATCACCCAACATCTTGAAATTTGGGAAAAAAAGGAAATTCCGGAACGACTTCAATTTCGAATCGTTTGATTAGGCTTTAGCCGACAAACGCGCCTGTGCCTCAAAGTTTCCTTGAAGGCGAAATTTTCATTTTAAACGTTAATGTATTATTTAAAAACAGATACTATTTAATCAGTTGGCCTTTTTTAAAAGATTTGATGAATTTTGTTTGTTTTAATTGATTTTACCGTCCATTAAAAACTGATGTTGATCCATAACAAAACACATAGTACGATTTTTCGTCGCAACCGCCACCAAAAACTGAAACTTGTTACTCATTTCCCCGGGAAGTTATTTTGATATCGCGGAAACTGGAAAGGGCATTTTTCGCAACCCTTGATTTCGCGAGTTGATCAAAAAGATACAGTAAAACAACCTAAATTTCGCGAAAATTATCAAAATACTGATCTGCATTAAAAAACAGCTAGTCTAAGAATTGTCACAACTGATTTTAATTTTCCATAACAAGAGCGTGCAATGACACAGTCACTGCTGAAAAAAAAAACATATTATAACAAAACGAAACTGCCGGAAAACAGTTTGTAGTGTAATGTCGTGGATTAGAGGACAACACTAAGACCGCCCTCTTTACTTGTTAATAGCAAGCTCGGATGTCAGCATAAAAGGGCGCCAGTTGCAGCCGCTATCAGTTCATTTATTAGCTTACTGTATCTCACCTATAAACCCCACCAGCCGGGAAACCTTCCCTACTTTAACAGAAGTGTGCGTTCTTTTACGTTGCCTTCGATTCGACTAATGAAAGAAGGATGAAGGAGTCAAGGCCAACGGCTTTTTAAAACGTCACCGCCCAATGACGCGATCGTCTGGGCTGAGACAAGGGCTTTTACAACCTTTAATGCTGCCGGACTAGTTTGGAGAAAGCCTATAGGATGGTAGGGAACAAACGTTGAGGTATCACTGAAAATAAAGTAATAACTTTAAGTGGTACATTACCATTGTTAAGTGGTTGAAGCGTATTATACAAATCTCACATCTGAAATTATTCAATGTCGGTCCCCTTAGTACACTTGTAATGCCACCGACTTGAAAGGCGCCGATTTTTCCTTTTCAGCGTAATCTCTCCA